TGTCAATTAAGCTCATTCCTCTGAGCTGAGTTTGTAAATTATGAATAATAACGTCATATAGACATATTCTTCTGCGTGGAAGAATTCATCGTGGCGTCATTTTTGACTATCACCTGACGTTTTACATACACATTACAGGCTATTTTCGATTTTAAAAAAACTTAACTTTAAAGCTTAAAAGGAGGCAAAATGCAAATATTTCGTATGAAATAAGTTTCATTTGATATGTATCATTCTTTAATCAAAGGCCTTGAAGCGATCTCTGTTTTGAAACAGAGGCATTTGTTACCTCTGAAATGGCTTGAGAAAACGAGACTTTTGAAGAAAAGGAAAAAAGTCAAATGATAATTGCAGTTGTTGTTGTAGGTAGGGTAGGTCAAATCAGCATGGGAGAGAGACGGCTCTTTTGTACTGTATTTCTACTCTCTCTAGACGCCGTCCACCTAAATGCAGTGGCCAAATGGTCAGTGAATTTTGGTTCGAGAGATCTGGGCAAGACACTGCTCTCACAGTGCCTTTCTTCTCCACCCAGGAGTGTAAACGAGTACCGGGAATTGTCAGGGGAGCCTAATGCAATGCTGAGAGGTAACCTTGTGATAGACTAGCATCCCATTTAAGGGAGGGAGGGGCGAGAACTAATACTCCTTATCGCTTCGTGCTCAAGTGAAACCGGGATAAGATCCGGCTGGTGGATCTCTAGGTTCCAGCACTTTTTACTTTCTCGCTAATTTCCCTTCCTTCCTGTTTTTTTTTTCTCCGTGACAGTTTCATTACAATAAGGTGCACATATATATTGAACTATGTAGTTTATGCTTAGCTAATTGACTGGATAGATTAATCCATGAAATTTCAAGCTTTATCGAAAAAGCAAATTTTACTGGGTTTCTAGGAACCTAGTCAAGGAACAATTTGATCAGAATTTATGCAATTGCCTACTTATATTCAGAAGTATTCTATTGGCGGCAGATAATGTTAGCTCAAGAAAGAACCTCTTAATACAAACTCGAACTTCAAATGCATAGCAGTACCATGACTAGCTCCCTATAATTTGTATTTTTGTGGAGCCAAGGATGGTCAGTTTTAATCTTACAAAATAGTAGGGCTGGTATCTTTTCCTGTGTCCCCAACAAAATCAAGGGTTCACTATCTTCATTGATGTCTTGTACATAGTGCAGTTATCTGTGTGTTGAAAAATCAAAACCAAAGTATTCACAGCAACCAATCAGAACAAATGTTTACAATATCATTAGCCAAAAAGAACTCAAAGTAAAAACAAGCAAACTGCTTAGAGCGTTGGTTTAGAGGATGGTGCAAGTTTTCTTGACCAATCACATAGCAAAGTGAAGTAAAACCAAAGCAATACCGGATTAATTCATCAATTATCAAATTTTATCAACTATAAAATGGTCTTTATATAATCCCTTAAAGTTACTTCAACGTTTCATAACTTAAAGGATTTTTCCTAAAATGATGGCTTTAAATCGCTATTCGGCAATTGTATTTTTGTTTAAACTAATACATTCCAGTGTATTTTATAGTTTGCTAGATAATAGCGGAGCTCGCAGCGCGCTGCGAAGCTTCATACCTTTAAGAATGGTAGTGATATAATTGACTGCCATCAAGCAGAGAAAATAATATAGTCAATGCATAGTTTTTAATTTTATTTTGGACAATACGTTTGCTTATTAGAAATAAAATCTGATTCTGTATTATAAACATATGTCAATCCAATGTTATGATAGAAACTATTCGTAGAAACAGGTCAGCTGATATGAGTCGTGTTTATTGGCATGCGCGGTAAAGCTTTTGATACTGTAGACCACACTATAGGTGTTGATGGGAAGAGTACAGTGGACTCTCCATCACCTTCTGTATTATCCGATTTTGCAATAAAAATTTGAGGACTAAACATCCTTCTTGACACGTTCCCATCAGCACAAAATTCTCCATCTTTCATATTATTGAAGCAATGTAAGCCTAAAACAAAACGAAATCACTGGTCCTGTTCTTTGATTCCATCAAACGTTCTTTGATTCCATCAATGAGTAGAAAGGCAAATTCCTAATCTAAACTTGAAATATATGAGAACACTGTTTTTTATATTTTCATTNTTACTTCGTTCGGGAGGCTGTCTGGACAGAAGTGTTCGGCCTTGTCTTCTCTTTAAGAAGAGAAAACCAGGATTAAAAAATAACGATTAAATCAAGTGAAATCGGTAAAATAACGACACCAGGAGCAAGCAACACACGTATGGAATAAGGTAAGCCATTTTTATTTAATATTTTCACTTTTAACTATCTCTATGGCTATCTTGTAGAAAATCCCATACAAATCCTTATAAATCGATATGCAAATTGTGTTCCTTGTGTGGTTCTCAAAGAGAGCTTGGGCTGCCTGTGGTTTTCGCCTTTGTTTATAGCTGGTGCACCTTAAGGACTTTGGTGGGCAGTGCTTTCCCTAACCACAGTGGGGTGCTCAATTCTGTTTAAGCTGTCTTTAATTGCAATCAAATCGACTATTTTAGCCATGACGTACTGAATTTTTATGATGAATCATTCCTGATTAGGTATGGTGACGTAACTCCAAAGTCCTTTTTTGGCCGTATATTTGGCATCGTCTGGGTTCTGGTGGGAGCAATTATGATGTCATTGTTCACAGACTTAATAATCAATTCCATGCAAGCCGCTCTTGATGGCACAATGGGCAAAGATATCGCTGGTAAAGAGGTGCTTCTTAAAGAAAGAAAAGTTTCATCTTAGGCCTTACCAAAAAGAAGACGGCTTTAATAAAAAGGCGTTTGTATTTTTGCCTACAAAAATGTACTTTTTGTAGTCTTCTCTGAGATCTAAGTACATATAGCATAAATTAGCTCCCCTGTAGTATCCAATAAGGAATATCCGAGATATTTGTTGGTATCAACTTACTTACAGGTTGGTGTCTTCGCACCTGCCGAGGAGTTTCATGCAAAGATCATCAGTAAGTGATAAATCATTCATAGCACCAATGAGCTGTAAAGCCAAAAATTATGGCAAGATGCCATGCTTATTCCTTAATATCATTTCATTTTCCCCATCAGTCACACCAAAGACACGCAAGACCATAATTTTATACTCGTCATGGTTGCCCAAAATATTGTATAAATTAAAACAAGTTAAGTTAGTAAACATGTTGCTAGTAATGAACATAGTATTAAGGAAAACCCCTAAAACCGCCTATAGAATTAAAGATAATAATTTAAGCAATCAGAAAAGTTAAGGTTTGGAACGTTTAACAATGGACACCAAAATTCTCATGCTGGTTTGTGTCTATCATTATCAACTGTACCGTCAACCATGATCAGGTTGTCAAGACTAGCTACTATTGTGTCGATCTGCGTGATTAGTTTTCATAAACAAAAATCGTTAGTTCCTTGAACCATTCACCTTCGTTATCAAAATTTAATCAAGAATTTCCAATCCACAAAATTTGATTCTCTTGAAGAAATGCATAAAGGCCTTACCCAAGGGGCAATTGGAAGAGTACTGTTAGATCGCAACAATGCATTTTACTTTCTGGATAAATTTGATTTGAAAGAGAACAGGGACGTTCGAATGATTCGTGTCATAGATTATGCAATAGAATATCATTTGGCGCGTGTAAAGCATGACGTTACACCACCTTCAACAAGGTCACCAAATGAAACCAATTATTCCGAGGAGGAACGATTTATGAGAAAAGCAAAGCTGTCCCAGTGCGGGGAGGCCCTGACAGCACTGTCAGAGAATATGGTCGCAGTTTCTCAGGACACTGCAAAAGAGCAACTTATCCCTGCAGAGGTACGGCTAAGCGTAAGTTTTTTCATCAACCATCCTCTGATTTTGTCATGTGCCGTTCAGGAAGAAGTCCAGTGTAATTTTGCTTGATTCAGTTTAGTTTTCATAAG